TCTCTGCACGTTTTATGGCTCCTTTCAATCTTGTAGTAACAGAAGTATTCATTTTTGAGGAGAATGAAACATTTGGTATCTACCTGCTACCTGCTGCAATCTTTTAAAAGCCTTCTGATATTTTTGTCTCGAAGCACTAAAAGTCTTCAGCTAGCCTAAAGCTTATATGGCTTTGGAGGAGGTGGGGGAATAATTGAAAGAACAACAACCAATTGTTTCCCAACCCCGCCATCTTTTCAGGTAACTCAGCCTGTAACCTCAGCCTGTAAGGCATCTTGTAATTTAGTCCATTGAAAATCACTGGGACTTTAACTGAGCCCTATTTGCTGCTGCAGCTTTTCACATTACAGATGGAAGATTTCATGTTTTTCTGCTTCCCCTGGGGGAAGGAGCTTGTGCACACAGAAAGCAAGAACATCCAAGGGAAGATTTGCCTCAGCTCTGAAGCTTCCATTATCTGTCATTCTATTATTGAAGGTTTTCTGTGGACACTTCCTCATAGCAAACTAGCCCATGGAATTGTCTTGCTAATCATATCCTTGTGATCTTTCCCTCGTTCATTCCCAGCCCATCATGGAGAGCAGCAGAAATTCATCTTTCACTGTTCCAGTTTTAGAACAGTGTTATTTTCTTTGTCATGAGAAAAGTACATCTTCTTTCCTTTGTCCTTACCACTTTCTATAAAGGGACAATTGAGAGCATTCTGTCAAATTACATTACTGTCTGGTGGGGAGCATTACTGCTTTAGACAGGAAGGCAGCGCAGAGAGTGGTGAGGATGGCAGAAAAGTTTATTGGTAGTTCACTTCCTTCTGTCCAGGACACAGGATATAAGCAGTGGTGGGATTGGAATAACTTAACAACTAGTTCTCTGGCTGGGTAGACATAGCCGGTTGGCTCATATGACTGGGTGGGTGACGTTACTCATCACACCGATCCCCGCCTCCCGGCCACTCACTAATTCCACCACTGGATAACCCTGCCCCCGCCCATTTTGGGGCTGTTTTTTGGGCGTTTTCAGGCCCAAAAATGGCCTGGAAAACAGGCCAAAAAACAAGCAGGGGTGGGGCCAGTTCACCAAACTGAGCAGAATCTTAACTACTGGTTTGCCTGAACAGTGAGAACTGGCAGCAGCCCACCTCTGCATATAAGCGATGCTTGAGCAGGACCCGCAGGATTGTCTGGGAGGCTACGTATCCTCTTCATGGCCTGTTTTCCTTGTTACCTTCTGGGAGGAGGCTTTGTGGTAACCGAACAGAATATCCAGATTCAGCCACAGTTTTGTCCCATAAATATCAGTCTTGTGGTCTCTCAAGTTTCCTCTTTCTGCTATGTATTCAAAATGGACAATGGTGGTGGTGGTGTGTGTGTGTGTATGTATACACACACATACATGTACACACACACACACACATATATATGTATATATGTGTGTGTATGTGTGTACATGTGTGTGTGTTGTGTATATATAGTGTATATAGCATGTGTATATGTATGTATTATTTCTTTTGAAGTAGAGCTGGAGAAGCTTCTTGGATAAGAAGTAAAACATCTTCAAAGAAAAACCAGAAAGCCCAGTTGCCTCTTGAAAACGCACCTTTGGGACAACCATGACCTGGATGACTGAGAAGCTCCATAGACATTTTGCTACTCAAGCAACTTGTAAGGAGGACTGCCCATCTAGTTAAAAAAGCTACAGTGGTTAGAATGCAGTACTGCAGGCTACTTCTGCTGACTGCTGGCTGCCTGCAATTTGGCAGTTCAAATGTCACCAGGCTCAAGGTTGACTCAACCTTCCATCCTTTCATGGTCAGTAAGATGAGGACCCATATTGTTGGGGACAATATGCTGACTCTGTAAACTGCTTATTAGAGGGCTGTAAAGCTCTGTGAAGCGTTATACAAATCTAAGTGCTATTGCTATTATGATTCAGGATTCGAAAGAAATCAGAGGGTGCAGTAAAACAATATCATCCCAAAATGACTTTAGATAAAGAACAGTCATAGCTAATATGAGCTAAAGTGCCCATCACACACACACACACAGAGAGAGAGAGAGAGAGAGAGCATCTATATATAAGTAATAATAGCTTTATTATAAGTCACTCAAATAACATAAAAGACAGCATAGGATTTTGAGGTTTTCAGGTAAGAAAAAGAGGTTAGGAAAAGCAGGGACTTAATAGGCTAGAATAGGAAGTTAAAACACATCCCAGAAGAAAGCAAAGGCAAATCACTTCTGTATTCAGCTGAGAAAACTACATGGACAGATATCGAGGGAAATGCTCAGCAGTAAATTTGACTTCTATGGATGAAAGGCAATGGGGGGAAAAATACGATGTTGGCCCAGATGCAGTGAGAATAAAGTGGCAATGGATCTCAAAGGAATAGCTGCCTCAAGACTCTCAAAGTCTTTAAAAGCCTGTAATGTTGCATACAGATGACAATACTTTCTGTTTAGACTGTATGTTTATTAGATTTGAGCTGTCGCTTCTAACGAATAAAACACTGATGAACTGGCACGATTCCTACATCTGGCAACCCCTGTTTCATCTGCATTTCAAAATCTATTCTAAATCACTTTATGTTTGAGAGCGTACTTTACTTTTTGTTAAATAATATGTTAGAGGAGCGCCATTAATTCCTGTGGAAATACTGGATTCTTTCAGAAAGCTAGCATCTGGATCTGAATCAGATGAACTTCAAAGAGACGCTACATGAACAATTCTTCTTTGAAGTATACTTAGAAGCACTCTCATGGCTAGGAATCCAAAGCAGCCTCTGACTTTGCTGTTCTTGGAAAAATCCCAGTCAGATGCCTTTGAAAAAACAGAGAAAAAGAGAGAGAGGAGAGAGGGAGAGAGAGAAAGAGAGACTTTCATTTTAGAAAACTGGTGTCTGGATCAGCTGTACTTCAAAAGAGAATGTCTTGTGCAGCCTTTTTTTTCCCCTTTGGCTTTGAAGTATGGCTAATTCAGATGCTGACATTAAAAAGGGAAGGAGAGGAGGAGAAAAGAAGGTCACCCAATCGTAGCCGACCTTATTTCGCTTTCTCATTTTCTATCTCATGGTGTACAAAAGTTGTGGGGGAGGAGGAGGTATGTTTAAGTAGTTATGGATACCTGTTACAGTTAAATAATAACTGTTAGTGTATAATGATATATTCATGTTTTATAATTAATGATTGATCATCATTTCATATGAAACCATCTAATACAAGACATTTTGTGGTGACCTAGACTGAGTAGTCTCAGCTTCAAAGAATTTGTAAGGAAAATATTAGAAACAATAATACATGTTGAAAGAATATGTGGTTTTTTCTATTCAAAATTCCCAAAGGCATGCCCTATAAATAGTCAAACTAAACCTTCAGCTTGAGGGATGAGAAAGATGCAGTAGCCTAACATGTGAAGGCACCACATCACGAAGGCCTTGTACTTCCTAGAAAGGTGAATCTGGAGTAGTGACACATTCCCCAGGCATTAGTGGGAAGTACACCCATTTCTGGTGGCAGTGTAAACTTTTGCATAGCTGTGTATAGTAAAGGAGAAAACAAAGGGATTTTCAATGAGAGAGAGGATGTGATTGATCTCTTTTGGCTCTCCTAATTAATGTTAACACCAAGATTAACATCAGATCAACAGTCAAGAAGTAAATAATACTGCAATCAAGGAACTGCCAAACAAGCCGACTGTAAACAGGCCAATCAAAGGACCCCAAAGACCCTCCCCCACCAACACTGCCAGGGCAAGCCACTAGAATATAAAATGAGAGCAAACCCCACTCCCTTCCAGCACCGGTGATGGTACCTAGTTTGGGTGAGGAAATATCTGCTAGTAAACAACCAAGGTCAGAGAGCACCAATGATCCCTAAGCTTCTGTTCTCAGATGGACCAGAAGAAACGGTCCATATCACTGGGCTTGAAAGAAACTTTCTTGCCTGTCCAGTCAATGTCTACAGAACAAGTTGAGGAGTGTGATCCTTTTTTGGTCTCCGTTGTGCTCACATGCATGTGCACACAACTTTTTTTTCTGTGCAAAAAGCTGCATGTTCTGACCCAGTCTCTGAAGAAAATTTAGATTCTCTGGAATCAAAATGGATTTGTCACTTTTGGGATATGGCTGATTCAAAATAATAACTCTCAGCAGCATCTGGCCAGCTAAGCAGAATAGACTTGTATAATATTTGATTGGGAGACCGCTAGGGCTGTGGGCTAGCCTGGAAAGTTGGGTGGGGGGTGGAAAAAGGGAACGTCAAACCACTTCTCTAATGTTGCTAAGAAAACTACATGGTAGTTATGAAGTTACCAGGATCCAGGCTCAGTCTGACCGGTTTACTTCATTATAACACATAGATATTAATATTTGAAGTGAGTTTGCTGGGCTTCAGTACTACTGATCTCTGCTATTTCGGTGCTCCAATTCAAGGCAATATCTTGACTAGGAAAATGGAGTCGCTTAGCTCCTACACCACATATCTCAACATCAAAGCAAGCCAGCTTGACTGAGCCATCTGCTGTAATGCAAGGGAAAGGAGCCTCTGAGCGCATGCAGCCATGTATAGAAACACCCCCCCCCCCAAGCCAGGGGGCCGCTTTGATCAGTGCATCACTTTGATCAAAGCCTTGCTGAAGCAAATTTCCCCCTTTCAAAACTCCACACAGCTCTCTCTGCACTTCCTTCGCATGCAGCTTGGAAGAAGAATTCCAGGGCATCTCTAAAGTTGTTATTTGCAGTCGTGTAGATGACTGCGAGGGGGGGGAAGGCCTCATTGATTAGAATACACGTGATGTATCTTCCATGACTTGCTTGTTCGTTTCACAAATCACAAAGTCTCTTCCCCTTGGAGATTGACATCTGGTAGAAAGCTCTTAATTAGAATACCGTATCCCTAGGTTGCAGTTCTAGTGCTGAATATGCAGTGCGGGGAAGATCCAGAGGACTCAGTTGGCATTACAAGGAAATAGCAAATCTCTGCTAGTGCAGAACAAAGAAAATCAAGATGGGGATTTGGATTTTGAATGAAAGTTTGTCAGTTCTGCTAGTTGTAAGTATTTCATAATCAAGCTACTGATTCTGATGTCTGGAGGGGAATTCTTGATAAAGCAGGCTGTTCTCTTGTTTTTTTCACATAGCATTTGTGAATTTCTCAAAGCACTAAGGAAGACATTTCTAAACCAACAGGCTTAAATAAATACTTGAAATCAACTAGTGAAAACTTTTCTGTTCTAGTTATTGTGGTTGGGGATGAACTTCTACTTGTTCATTGACACATTCTTCTGGTATGAATCTGAGGACGCCTACCTCTACACACGTGTTATGTTGGGTGTGAGTAAACTTCTTCTAAAATAGCTTCTGGATCTTTTACTTAGCTCTCCACCTATTTCATTATGCCAACCTGTCCCAATACCCTCACTTACCCAAATTTCTACTACATCTTTGCTTCTATATGCACCTATCTCTTTACCTAGACCAATGTGTCTCAGACTTGGCGACTTTGTTTGCCCATTTTCCTGCATGCTGGTTGAGGACTTTTGAAAGTCGAAGTCCACACATACCTTAAAATTGTCCAAGTTGAGAAACCGCGGGCTAGACTTATCCAAATAATTGTCTTAAGGAAATTTATTTTAAAATTATTTCCCTTTATGCATCTGTGGCACTTTAAAAATACACAGTTTCTAATGGCTCATGAAATGCATCTTAGAAGGTGTGGGGTGAGAAAAAATTCTATCCATTATTTACAAATTCTTCATTCCCCACCTCAATACTTCTTAAACAAACCTTCTCTATTGCCTTCTTCCTTTGTTGCAGAGGCTACTTATTTTGTCTTAGTAATCGCAGAAATAGATTTTCTCTGTGGTTATTTGTTCCTAATGTGATACTTTTAGGTCTTCCAACAATACCAGTAAATCTTTCCACCTTGCTGCTGGTTGCCCTCTTCCTTTCTTTTTTTTATACTTTAGAGCCTTGTCCAGAGAGCTAGGTAGGCCTTCACACAATGTTGCTAAAGTCGGATTATTTGTTTGACCATCATAATCATAATGCATTGCCTTATTTGATATCTCTGAACTTAGTTGCCAGGTCTTAAGATCAGAAACGTGACTGCAAGATATTTTGCTGATAAAAATAATTGACCAACCTTTAAAAAAAAAAAAGTTTGCTGTGCTGAACATTCTTGTCTCTTTCTTTTACTGTAGACCATATCAACCATTTCATCCAAGGTCAGCTTAGGAATTAAACCTTCAGAAATAAACAAAAAGAGATTTGATTGTTTTAGCATGTGAAATTCTTAGTTTCACCTTAACAGTTTTGGGTTTTTTTTGTCCCTAGTCTGCACTTGCATGGGCAAGAGCTTCTGCTGCTTGCCTCAACTTCAACTGCTTGCTGATCCTCCTGCCAGTCAGCAGGAATCTCATCTCCTTCCTACGGGGAAGTTTTGTAAGTAATATCTACAGAGATTCTCAGTCCTCCAGGTCCTAGTTCATCCCAAAGGTGCTTTTTCAAGAGGCAACTTTCTTGTTGTTCTTTGAAGACATTGTGTTTCTCATCCAAGAACTGAAGAAGCTTTTTGGATGAAAAGTGAAACTTCTTTAAAGAAAAACAAGAAAGTCCAGTTGCCTCTTAGGGAAAGAAAACACCTTTGGGACTTTTGTAAGTAAGGTTTAGTGATAGCAGTAATCCATCCATTGTCTTTTAAACTCTTATTGGTTCAACGTTTTAGTATACTTTCAGATTGTGTACTAGAAATCCCCCTTCTTCTTCTTCAAGAAGATAATCTGTAAGATTTAGTTGTAAATGAATAACATTGGTAAGTAGATGCTGGTAAGTAAATAAATATCTCTGGACCAGGAGCTCAAAAGGTGATTTTGGGCCAATCCTCTTTCTGAGCCCAACCTATCTCACAGAGAGATTATTGTGGGCATAAAATTTGAAGATCTCCTAAGTGAGCCACCTTTGGTCTTTTAGTGGGAAGTAAGGAATAAATGCAATAAGTAAAAGTTTATCGAAACACATGTTAAATGGAGTTGATGCATAATACTGGTTTAGTCCAGAGGGCATGTTTCAGCTGTATGGCAACTTCCTATCTTCGTAAAACAGTGTTTTGAATCATAAAGTAAATATAATGAAGTTACAAGAGGGAAAAGAACTGGCAAAAATTATGTCTCCCTTCTTTCATTGTTACCTTTAGATCTCAATTTGTTCTATGGAAGGAAGAAACCCTTGCATTGTTGGAAAGACAAGTCTGGATAGACTTTGATTAACATAGTAGTAAATAATAACTTGCTTGTTGATGGAATGAAACAAGGAAAGAAAGATGCATGAATGTATCTGTTAGATATGATTATTATCACTTTTCATTATGGAAAAGAGCCAATTCACCAGGCAAGAGACACAGGGAAATTATCCATTGTGATTTTTATCTTGTCTCAGTTTATTGTTTCATTGTACCTTGTAACATTCATAAACGTGAAGCCTGAAATAGGGTGATCTTGCACAAATGAATAATGACCATGTGGACTTGTTTGCACCATATCTTCAACCTAGTTAACTCTCCTGGTTCAAAACAAAAGACTGCGGTGCTAGGATTTAAGGCAATTGTATAGCAGAGAATTCACAGAAACCATTCACTATTATCATTCACATAATTCTTTGGAAAAAGCTGTGATCCCGATTTCAAACTGGTTAAACAATGTAATGCAGAAATTGCATATTTGCCAGTAAAATGTAAGCGCTAATTGTGAAATGGAGGAGTTCTGGGAGGGAAAAATCTGCAGATAGGAAATTATTTAAGACATTTAGAAATAAAATGGACTGCTAAAAAGGTAGCCTTTTGTAACACAACTGTACAATAAATATATTTGTCTGCCTTGTGATGCAGTAGCAATTTTATATGGCTCTATTTGTGCTTTTAAAAATATGTTTTACAGAAAAACAGCTGTAGCTTATATCAATTAAATGCATGGTATAATCTTTTTTCCATAATAGAAAGGCTTATAATTGTACAAAACAATTTTAACCAACAAAACTGTTGCATTTCCAGTATGCAAACAAGATATATTTTGGTGGTGCAACTAAAAGACTAACTGAATATTCAACCTCTAGGCTACATTCAAATATAAAATATAATAAGCTGTATATTAGCATCATTTACCTAAGAAGTGAGCTTTGTTAATCTATGGACTTTTCTCTCTCTTTACTCTGTATTTTTGAAGGGGTTGTACATTTTTGTTTCCATTTTTATCAGCTGCAGATTACAAAAAGAAAAAAAAAGGATAAACTGTGATTTATCCACATTTACAGTTCCTGACCAAGTCAACTTCATATTATGGATTATGTACTTTGCTTAAATAATTGTGTGAACAGAAACTCTATTTTAGACTGAAAAACCTGTGATCTCATTCTTTCTCATGTATTATGGGAGGGAGGAGAGAAATGAATATCACAGTTACTAAATTTAAGCTCAGAGTCATGTAAATGAAATAAACATAATTTAAAATACCTCTTTGTTTTCATTAAGTGTTGCAGAACAATACTGAGGAGACAATTGGATAAAAACATCACATTTCACAAGATCATTGCTTATGGAGTAGCTGTAAATGCAAGTAAGTTTGAAAACATTTTGCCTGCAATATTACTTGCTTCTATCTGGGATCAAACAAATTCAGCATATTAGCTGCATGCTTGAGTGATTCCACATACCTCCCAATGCTCAATTATTGTGGATCGGTGGAAGTTAACTTTGGAGGAAAAAAAACCCCTTAAACTAAATTGCCATCCCTGGAGTTAGCATTCAGGATTTCCTATGGCAATGACTTACGTTGTGACCATTTGTGAAGCCTCACCTGGCTTTAATGGAGTTGGAATTAATACAATTGCTTTGAAAATGGGAATCCCATACAACCCTTATTACCACCATTCTTTTACATTTCTATTTCTAGCTTTAATTGAAATAGGAATATTTGTGCTTTTTGTATACTATACATGTAGATTTTACTATATTTTCCAGCAGAAAGACAAGTTTATTGTAAATACAGCACAACAAAAATATCATACCACAGAGACAATGCAAGCATAAAAGGACATTAAGTCTTGTCTAATATTCTGGTATTACAGCCATGGCCAACCAGGTATATTTACGAAATTCACAAATATAGACAGGAGGACAATAGTCTTCAATGGTTGTTTCCTAGCAGCTGATATTTAAGATATATAGTCACTCCTTGTTTAGCGACTACCTTGGTTAGCAACCGTTTGCAAATATGATGGTAATAAAAGGTGTTAAGCCCCTGGTGGAGACTGACTCTGAGGGAGAGGAGGAACAGCCGGCGGGGAGTGGAAGTGTGGCTCCGGAGGTTGTGGAGGAGGCTGGGGAAGGGCAGAGGCCGGCTGAGCAGTCAGAGGAGGACCCAGGCCCATCCCCTATCCATCCTAGGGCATGCAGGGGGGAGAGGATAAGGGAGAGATGTGGTCTAATCCAGAAGAGAGGGCCTTGATTCTCTTCATGGGATACAGGTGTGAGAACTGCATAAGAGTTTGGACCTGCGTGCTAGCAAACACTGGAAACCAAGAGTGCTTTATTCCTGGATGAGGTTTATCTTGGTTGGCATTCTTCCAACGAACTATACCTGGTTATCTTCTTGAAGTTTGTAATTAATTATCCTGGTCTGTCGTGGAACTTTCTTCAGTGAGGTTTGTTTTTGGTTTTTTATTGCTTTGTTATCTGCTCTTTGAGTTGGACTGTATTTCTTTCGTTTGGAATGTTATTTTGGAAAGAGTTTAATCTCCAACTGTGAACAATTGAACCGTGAAGCCAAGTTGAAGGCATTAAAGAACATTTATTTACGTTTTGGTTTTTGTTACATTTGTGGGACATTCCAGATCATCACAAAAGGTAAATGTTCCCCTTTCACATACGTGCTAGTCGTTTCTGGCTCTAGGGGGTGGTGCTCATCTCCATTACAAAGCTAAAGAGCCAGCGCTGTCCGAAGACTTCTCCATGGTCATGTGGCCAGCATGACTAAATGCCAAAGGCACACTGAAAGCTGTTATCTTCCCACCAAAGTGGTCCCTATTCTTCTACTTGCATTTACATGGTTTCGAACTGCTAGTTGGCAGAAGTTGGGACAAGTTAATGGGAGCTCACTCCATTACGCAGTACTAGGGATTCGAACCACTGAACTGCCAACCTTTCTGATCGACAAGCTCAACATCTTAGCTACTGAGCCACCACTTCCCTGTATGATGGTAATAAATGAGAACTAAAAAAAATTCAACCAAATTTCATATCCCTCATAACAATGTACGCCTGAGTGAGAGTAACACAGGTATAGCTGTATGAGATAACTGTATCTGAATGAGACAGCAGCAAGTGGTTCTCTCTCTCTCTCTCTCTCTCTCTCTCTCCCTCTCTCCCTCCTTCCCTTCCCCTCTCTCTTTCCCTCTCTCTCATGTTCATTAGCACCTTGCTTAATGACCTCGTTGATAGAATTAAATGAAGAAGTTGTGTTGTCTGTGTCTTAAGAAAAAGTAGATTGTACTTTGGCTAAAAGCCATTGATAAGCCAATCCTCCTTGATTTTGTCCAGAATTTTTACAGCCATCTAAATTGGTGTTTATCTGCACCTGATGACACCACCATCTTGAATAAATCATACAATATATTACAAATATCAAGTCTTTTCTTTGATCAGTTATGGATTATTTGCATTCAGTTTCAGTTAATAATGCCTAATTCTAACATTGTAAAAATGTTAAGGAAAAATATTATTTCTATCCCCATCTTCTATGCCTGACGTGCATTAATTTATCTCTACTTTGCTTACCCTTACTCTCTTTGTTCACAGCTCATAGGAACATTTAAACAATAAGATGAATGTTTCAGTCATTTTACTAAGCAGGTGCTGATGTTTCTTGAATCTAATATGGCATAATTCCTGCCAGAATCAATGAACTGAATTTTTGTTCTTTGTTTTGCTGAAAACCTCAAAAGAGTATGGAATTCAGAATATGCCACAAAGCGATACGATGAGATGTTTCTTTATCATGGACAGCAATTTATCAATTTGCTTTCATCGGACAGCAATTTATCAATTTGCTTTCATATTCATGTATATGAATACATTCCTGAAAAATGTGCACACATTTCTTTTTCTTAATTAAGAAGTCATTCCAGGAATAGAAATCCATTAATTTGACTTATTTTAGTTTTCTCATGCAACAAAGTAAAAGTGTACCAAACTATGTTGGCTGTGCTTTCCAACGTAAGTTTAATAGGTTAGGTTAAGAAGTTATTCATAATGTGGGAATTCATTTCAGTATGTATCACATCTTTTGTATGTGTAAGTAAAGACTGATATATGGAATAACCCATTTATATTTTAAAATCTTGCCTGAGGTATATCCCAGACAAATGGAAGAAAGAGCCCATAGAAAGGTGTTTACACCCTTATTTACCAATAATTTTAAATTAAAGCTTTTAGAACCCAAATACCCAGGGTTGACATGCTCTAGATCCCATCAGTAAAAGAATGTCATGTTATGGCAACTAGGAGACATGGTAGATGTTTGGAGAACGATTATCCCTCCTGATACCACATGGCTATGATCCTAGGAAGGTCTTAAAAACCTGGCTTATTCTACAGGCCCATCCTTTCCATTTTAATCACCAGTAAAGCTGCAGAGGGTTGTGGCATTTTGACCACTCTAAAACATCATGGACAGGGAAAGGATGTCACATGAGAAAGTGGTGACAACAGAACTATCAAAGCACTGCTTCAAAAGACAGAAGGGTGGAACTAGAATGCGAAGCTCTAGAAAGTTTCAAGATTTGAATCTTCTAGCCTTCTATCTATGAGTTCCTCCTATTTACAACAATGTACAAGTACTCCTCAAATTATGACCATTGTTTTGCTTAACGACCACTGCAAAAAAAGATTGTAAAATCAGGTCAGACACCTTGGTGACCCATTTTATGACTGTCATGATTTACAACTTTGATAGGTAGGTTCCATTATGATCCATAAGTTGATGTCTACCTGTAAATTAGCAAGTGATTGATTATATGGGGAATAGTAAAGTAATTAATTAGAAAGTGACAAATCAGTCTAACAATTATCCAAGACTCACATGTTGTAATTCCTATTCTTTCTCTCTCAAATGCTAATTCTATGACAGTTGTATGTGTTTTATCAAGGATAACATAAAGTAATATAAAATAACAAAACTTAACTCTTGCTTCATTCTTTCTTTGCTTACTGGTCAGATAGCTAATGACTTGTAATTGCAGCTTATATAAAATATCTCTATAATAATAAATTATAAAAGTAGCTAGACTCAAAATAACAACAGTATTGGTGAATGTTTTCCCTCCTGGCAAATAATATGCTGAAGCTGGACAATAGCATAGCCAAAGAAATAAACCTTGCCTATCATGACTGTCATGTGTATTTCCTTGGATAGATAGATAGAGGGAGGGAGGGAGGGAGGGAAGGAAGGAGGGAGGGAGGAAAGGAGGGAGGGAGGGAGGGGGAGAAAGAGAGAGAAGGGGGGAGGGAGAGGGAGAGAGAGAGAGAGAGAGAGAATGAATCAGGGCAATACCATTTGGAAGAAGAGATGTAATAGAAGCAAGATAGAGATTGACATTAGGAACAGGAAAAATCATGGTGGTATTTTGCATTGCAAAGATAAATGAATAATGCTTCCATTCAGCAATGCCGAATAAACCTATGTGTTGTCTCTTAGTCAAGGCAAGAAAACTTTATCAGATGTACTGATTGACTATGGCAGGAAGATAGTCCCTCCTAAATTGATGTCTGGCATGTTCCAGTAATAATACATCATAATCTTTACTTTCTAAAACCTATTTTTATAGCTATTCACATCATTGCACATTTGGTCAATATAGAACAATTTCATCTCAGCCATTCGAAACAAGCAGGAGACTTGAGGAAGAAACTGTCTGGCATTGGTGGGAACCCAAACGAAAGCTACCTGAACCCCATCAGAAGCTATGACACAGTAGGTTCATTTTGGTGTTGGTCTTGTGGTTGGTTGGTTAGCTTTCATTCATCTGAAAATTTCCTATACTCAGAAAACACAGTCCAACTCACATCCTAAATTAACAAACAAATGCTGGGAGCAGAGAAATGGAAAACAATACATAAAAAGGGGAATCAAGTAGGGTCATTTTGTAGGGATATAGTAATCAATCATTCATAAGAATACCAAAATAAAAGACTTTGAATTGCCACTGCTATTAGTTGTTGATAATTTCTATAGCATATTCTCTTGAAACCCATGGTGACATATATTTGATGTGAGATGGAGAAGGGGAGAGAGATGATGATACCATAACAGTCTTCATGTTCAACAATCATTTGTCATTGTTCTAAAACCAGTACAAATGTACAGTTATTATTGCCAATAAAATAGTTTAGGCTGTCATCTTAAATTCACTTACCAGTGCGTAAGATCCAATGAGTAGCCACATATTTTAAACAATTAAATATTCATTTATATTAACTACAAGATTTGTCCTTATTATGATGGCTATTGAAAATAGATTGTGTTTCAGATGAATCCGATCACTATACAGCATAGCCGAAGCAACATTTGATGAAATTCTGCAAATGCTACAGAAAGACATACTTCCTTCTGGCATATTCTATATTCCTCCTTCTGGAGGAATATAGAATCACACATATTACCTTTATTTACACTTATTCCTTTATTTGATAATGCTATGCTTTCCCCCTCATTAGTGTCTGCTTCATTAAATCTTGTTTGAATCATGTATTTTCTTCAGAATACCTAAGTATAGTATAACAGGAACTGCTAAGACAGTCTTGTTTCCTCTTACCATTTCACAAATATACAGAAATTGTACCCCTTGCTACTGATAGATTTTTACTATCAAATAGAAAATAGGTTTTAATATTAACGCCCCGGGTCTAATCTTAATTTTTTTAAAATTAAATTAATATTTTTGTTACACTATTAATCCAATATTCCTATAAACCATTTTCCCTGTAGAATACATTAGCTGAAATCCTGAGAAGCATAGCCGGAGTGACAGGACTCCTAATCACTGTGTCGCTAATTCTGATAATGACTTCATCTACTGAAACCATCAGAAGATCCTTCTATGAGGTGTTCTGGTATACCCATCACCTATTCATTGTTTTCTTCGCTGGCCTGGTAGTTCATGGTATGGGGTAAGTATGTACACACACACACACACACATTAGTCACACAGCGAAATATTACTTTGAATGTCCAACTTACAAGGTGACCAGCTGGGGGTTATAAACTAATTCTGAGATCAAACCTCAACGTAAACCAGGACAGCCATCAATCTCAGCTCAGTTTCCTTCTGAAACTTATCTACATTATTATACATTATATATGGTGTCTGGTGTCAGCTCTGATGGTGCCTAGCCGCCATCAAAGAACACAGTGGCTGCACACTGTCAAAATTGACACCAGCCAGAGCATAGAAAATCTCAAAGTAGTGCAAGTTTGGAAGAAGTGGAGATACCTGGTCCATAGAATTGCCAGGAGTTGGAAATGACCAAATGGATATCATCATCATCATCATCATCATCATCATCATCATCATCATCTATGTCTACTATAGCACAATATAATTTTATTGGAGAGAAAAACCCTATTAGAAAGGCTAGGACTTTTATATAGACCTGACTCAAATGTTTCTGATGTTTTAACAGATAACAGATCATCAGAGTTGGAAGGGATCTTGTAGGTCATCTAGTCCAACCCCCCGCCCAAGCAGGAGACCCTATACCATTTCTGACAAATGGCAGTCCAATCTCTTCTTGAAAGTCTCAAGTGATGACGCTCCCACAACTTCCGAGGCAAGCTGTTCCATTGGTTGATTGTTCTCACTGTCAGAAAGTTTCTCCTTATTTCCAGGTTAAATCTCTCCTTGTTCAGTTTCCATCCATTGTTCCTTGTCTGGCCTACAGGCGCTTTAGAAAATAGCTTGACCCCTTCCTCTCTGTGGCAGCCCCTTTTAAACTGTAGAAAGACTTTTTGTCCACAACAAAAGTGACATTTAAATATAAAATACTACTTAACCTGTGGTTTTTTTTTTTCTAGTCATCTTATCCGTGGTCAAACCAATCAGAGTCTGCTGGTTCACAATGTGAGTTACTGTAAAGATCACTACTGGGAGTGGGAAAGATCAGCTCAGTGTCCTCTACCCCAGTTTTCGGGTAACAGCCCTTCGGTAAGAATTGCAATTATATTGTCAATACCTCATCCTTAATGCAGTTTACAGACTTGTAGCATTGCCTCTTACCATAGGAAAAGAGCTACAGAGCTGAGAGGTGTTATGTGACTCCCCAGAACATAGAATAGTAGGGTTGGAAGGGGCTCTGCAGGTCTTCTTGTCCATGTCAGGAGATCATATACCGTTCCAAAACATCTTTCCTCCTTCAGATCAGAACTGTTTGCATCTAGCATATACACACACTGGGCAACACACTTTGCATCTAGCATATACACACACATACCTGGGCAAATCCCATTAGAACACTCTGAACTCCATCTTCAAAAGATGAGATAGCCCCACATGAAGAACAAAGGGAGCCCCACATTACCCAAAGAGAAGTGGGATTATAATCCATTTGGTGGTCCGCAATTTATAACTTGAGCAGGAAAATCAGCCGCAGAATTTGGTATTCAAGGACAGGTAGCAAAAAAATTAAATTTTGAATCCTAAAGATTATCTGCCAGCCTGATGCCTTTAAATAAGACGTTGTGGCTCTGCCCTAGAAATGATTGCATTCATCTCCCGCTTGCAAATGTGATTCTGGCTGCATAGTGTCTATAATCTTCCAACCCTTTATATGAAAGTAATGAACTGTGACTCTCTTTTATCAATGCCCATTAGGATGATTTGATATATGAAACAGCTGGTAAACTTATCAAACACAGAACTCATAATGCTGACACAAGCAGTCTGAATTGGCATTTAAATAGTTTTCATCACCATCTGAGTCATTTTTTCCCCCCCAAAGAGGCATGTGCTGCAGTTCAGATCCAAAGCTGAAAAGGTCCTTCAGTGTTGGTGGCCATGTATGCTGGTTCTCTAAGTACCTCCCAATAGAAGTTATGCCTTCTCCTGGGCTTGCACTGAACAAAATAAATGAATTAAAGTATCAACAGAGGGCATCAAGGTGTTTCAGAGAAGGTAGGAGCACACTGTTGGCAGCATTAGCTTGAAAAAAAAAAAGAGTGAGTTAGGATTTCTTTTAAGTAGGAAAATGTATTACCCAACAGCTCTGGAGTTTTCTTCTTCTTGTTGTGCCATATCCGTCATCGGACATTGGCAATCATGTTGGCGATCCTATTTTTATCAACAGTCGCACAAAAAAGTGCTGCTGAGTTTTGTCCAAATCAGTTCCTTAGATTTTGATGTTCTTCTTCTGCCTGGATCTCATTTGCCTTAAATTTTTCCCCGGAGGATTAAGTGAAGTATGCCATATTTTTCAAGGTGTCACATCACATGTCCAAAATATTCTAACTTTTGCTGTTTTTTTCACTTAATTTTGCAGTGGGGAGAAAAATAGTTAAGTTTGCCTTCCTCAACTTCTTAAATTTTCTTTTTTTTCCCCCTGTGCCTATACTGCTGGTTGCCAGCCAACAAGATAACAAGCTGCATGCCTGCCCAGTGATAAGCAAAACTCAGGCAGAATTTTTTACCAATATCTTAAAATAGCAATTGTAAACATAATCAAAAGACCTGGCATGGGTCAACCTCAGAAATCCAAAGAACAAGTGACAAAACCAAAGGACAAGATAAGAGAAATAGTGGCAGGGAATCTAGAACTCAGGTAGTTCTTGACTTACAAAAGTTCATTTAGTGACCGTTCAAAGTTACAATGGCACTGAAAAAAGTGACTTATGACCATTTTTCACCTTTGTAGCATCCCCATAATCATGTGATCAAAATTCAGATGCTTGGCAACTGGTTCATATTTATGATCGTTGCTGTTTCCCAAGGTCATGCGATCACCTTTTGCAATCTTTTGACAAGCAAAATCAATGAGGAAATCAGATTCACTTAAAAACTGTGTTATCAACTTACCAACTGCAGTGATTCACTTAACAACTGTGGCAAGAAAAGCCATAAAATGGTGCAAAATTCAGTTAACAAATGTTTCACTTAGCAGCATAAACTTTGGGCTCAATTGTGGTCATAAATTGAGGACTCCCTGTACTAACAACCATGAAAATACAACAGAGCTAAGGCTTGAAAAGTTGCTCTTGGAGTTTTCTTCCCAGGAGCGAGGCCAACAAATCAGCCCCCTTGAGCCTCCACCTAGTACACAAAACTGTGGGAGATTACTCAGCATTGGTTCTTCTCAAAGTTGTTTCTTGGCAGGTCTCATCAATCTACAGAGCTCTGCTCTTGGTTGTTGTTGAATCATTATCTCTGTTTAGGACTGGGTGGTTGGATTTCAGAGTTTGAGAGACTATCAATGGGTATAGACAAGACTTCCTGAGGGCTTTCTGGAACTGGCTCAAGAGTGGAGTTGTTGAGTTTGCCACTACTACTGATCCCTAGATGCCTCTAACTCCACTTCCTTCCCATCATCCACACGATGGGATATATTTAATTGGGCCTTTACAACATGAGCATAACTTCAAACTAATGAATGGTCCTGCTCTAGGAAGAGCCTGAGGGTCCCAGCTGAAAGGACTGGAGATCTTCATTTGGATCATCTGCCAAAGGTTCTGCCCTCCTGCTATTATGGGATTCATATTTAGAATCTGTGGTGCCACTTTAAATAGTCTAGTTCAGGAACAAGCAACTTACAGCACTTCAGATGTTACCAAACAATACTTCCTAGCATCGTTCACTATTGGCCATGTTTTCAAGAACAGTTATCTTTTAACAATCCCTTAGTTTTGTATCGACTTACCCTTCTTTTTCTCAATCCAGAGAGTCATCAAATCAATGAAGTCCATGTCTGTGCCCATTATGGCCAAGTGTTTTCTTTTCCTTAATTGATGCTGGTTCTTCCATGAATTGCGCTCACATACCCAGAGTGCAGAGCCTGAGTGTTGTAGTTAGCCAGCAGCAGGTGCGGACAGCTGAGGAGAGCAAGGACTCAGATGAAGGGCCAGGACCATTAGGGAGTAGACTGCTGCCTTCAGAAATTGTGGGGGCTGGCAGCAGTGATGAGGAGGTTCCTGAGGAGCCTGTGCCAAGTGCGCGTGTGCTCAGGGCTGCTCATAGGAAAGAACAGCTGCAGCAACACGGGTGACTCAAGAGTAAGGCTGCAAGGTAATGGCCCCTCCTTCAAGAAGGTAAAAGCCAGCTGTGAATCAGACATTCTTTGTAGGAAGCAAAAACATTTTGAAACTCCAGTCTTGTGAACATTGCAGTATCTTAGTTGGTATTTGAAGACTCTTGTGTTGTGAAATATTTCTTATCTGTGATTCTTGGCAGTCTTGCACAGTTTTGGCGAGGTTTGTGCTTATCAAAGTTAATTAGTTTGCAGCAGCATTTTAACCGGGGATTCGTAAGATTCATTAAAAAGGTTTCTGTTCCCTTCAATTATTGTTTGTTTTATTGGAAAAGGGTTTGGGTCAGAACACTGGGATTAAAGTTAGCAGAAATGAAGTCCCCACAATGGTTTGCACTTTTGAGGGAAGTGGATTTGAGTTGCATGGGGGAAGGGGGGGGCGTGCTTCCAGGTAGCTGACACAGCCTTGGCATGCCTGTTGTGTGACCCCAATCTAGTGCCACTAAGTTGGCTAAGAACAAGTTAACAAACAGTTAGTGTGAATCAGACTCAACTACATAACCTGCAAGGTGAAAACTGGAAATAGTTTGTGCTAGAGCAAAACTACAGTAGGATGCAACAGTTCAATTTTCAGTATCATTAATTAAAATGTTCATCAAAAATTATTATTAACTAATTCTGTGACAATACTATGGTTTGGAAAGCCAATATTAATACTAGGGAAAGGGAAATGAAAAATACCAAAAAGAATACATGACTTTTTGGTAATATGTAACAGATGTAATCAATTTTATTTTATATAATTATGTTGAATAATTAAACAAGTTCACCCTGTTAAACTTAGAGCTAGTAGCTTTCTATTAATTGAACAGAATATTAAGGGATATTAATATTCTATAAATTATTAATACTACTAATAAATATTAATAATAAAAATGTAGAAGTGAAAAGTAATCCCTTAATTTTTTTAATCTGAGTAGAAAAATCTGAATTATGAAGGAACAGAAAAATGAGTAAATAATGGCAGTTTATAAATGATTAATCTAATTTTGTTTCATTTTTGATACAGACTAGAATAATTATGTTTAGGGTTCAGTTGTATTGTACAGTATTATATTTTTTTTCAGTTCATATGTACATTAAAAGTAAATTTAAATCTATTTTCTTTGGCATAATCATTTTGCAATTTGGAGAAATTAGATTTTCCATATTCTTTGCTGTCTAAATATGCTACCCTAAGCTTTTTTCTAAATATTAATAGGGAATACTTAAAATGAATAGGCATGCTTGCACATCTAAAAAAACTCTTTTAAAAATCCTGCACATTCTATTATATCTAATTATCTAAAGCTGTTGTACTTTGAACTGAACAGAATTACCAGCTGATATATATAGTCAGCTAAGTAGCTTTGATCAATAGGATGATCACTATATATAACCATGAAGCTGCCATATCTGGAGATCTAAGCAACTTAATGCCATAGATTGGCTGAGTGTAATCACTGACAATAAAATAGCCTAATCAATTAAATAAAAATAGATTATTTCAGCGTAACAGTACTTTCTTGGGTCAATTTCTGACCGATGATAAATTATAGTAGAAAACGTTGCTGATTTTTCAGTAGAACCAAAGGGAGAAAAAAGTTTTCCTTCCTTAAACTGGTGATGCCCATTTCAGAAAATGTATTATGTGGGTTGAAGAGAACTCATGGAGAATATAGCTTTTAGATAACCAAACAAAAGTAGATATATTAGAATAGCTGTCAAGGCTCTTTGCTACAACAGAGTCAAGGCTGACACCTGCTCTGCAAGTTTCTCTTTAAAATATTTTTCCCCACCCCAGCATCCTAAGCAAAGAACTAATATGGACTGCCCCGAAACAATGCTACATCAAGAACATTGTGCCCAAATAAAATAGCAGCCAAACATACCAGTCCTGTTCTGTGGAACATTGCTCTCCTTGTGGTTCATGACCAATTCAACGTAGTAGGGTACATTGAGACCATCAATGGATGTGGCTTGACTAAAGGCAAACACTTTGCAGAAAGTTTTCTCACAGCTGAAATTATCTATGCATGTCTTTGTTGGTGAGTTTGTAATTCCTATTGCAGTGTGTGTGTGTGTGTGTGTGTGTGTGAACAAATTTTTGACCCCAGGGCAGTATGCTGTCCTTGGCTATAGAAAATGTTATTTTCAAACCTTTGAGGAATTGCCCTGATTTTCCATTGTTCATTTTCTAGCATGGATTGTATTGCTCGTTTCCTATGGCCATCAGCATTCTTGTCCCATGTGCCTCCTGATCCCTCACTCATCTGTGAATAAGATCAGGGTTTTAACTAGTGGTTAAAACAACAAGTAGAATATTTTGCATTAATTCACAGAAAGAGACAGAGATAGCAATAACAGTAGCACTTAGACTTATATACCACTTCATAGTGTTTTACAGTCCTCTCTAAGCGGTTTACAGAGTCAGCATATTGCCCTCATCAGTCTGGATCCTCATTTTATTGATCTTGGAAGGATGGAAAGCTGAGTCAACCTTGAGCCGATGAGACTCAAACTACCAAAAGGGTGACAGTCGGCAGTCAGCAGAATTAGCCTGCAATACTGCATTCTAATCACTGCACCACCTCTTAAAGATAAAAATATCTAAATAAATATCTAAATAAATAAACAAAAATATCTCTTAAAGATAAAGTGTGACTGTGTATGACAAAAAGAGAAAAGGGGCTATGTGAACAGAGATATCTGCATGTGTGGGATACCAAGCTAGCAATGTATTGAAGCAAAAAGAAAAGATAGCCTATCCATGGAATAGTACATTGTGATATATACTTGGTATCCTGACCCCCTTATCTCCATGGGATCAGGGGTGGGATTCTACAGGTTCACATCTATTCTCTAGAACCGGTTGTTAACATTCTAAGCAGTTCGGAGAACCGGTTGTTAGAAGAAATTACTGGCCTAATCCTGTAAGGAAGGCAGGAAGGAAACATTCTGGTGTTGCTTACAGAAACTGCCTCTCCATTAACCCTTATTACATTCTTGGCAGGACTAGACTTCCTGTCTCAGGAACTTCTCTGGAGTTTTTTTCCCTTCCTTTGCTGGTACTTTGCTTGTGTGGAGTGACCATTCAAAGTTACAATGGCACTGAAAAAAGTGACTTATGACCATTTTTCACACTTACGACTGTTGCAGAATCCCCACAGTCATGAGAGGCCAGGTGAGGAGATGCGTGCCTCAATGTGAGTGGTGTTGATTTGGCCACACCCAGCCAGTCACATGACCAACAAGCCACGCCCACCAACTAAGCCACACCCACAGAACCGGTTGTTAAAAAAATTGAATCCCACCCCTACATGGGAGGCATATAGTTTGACACTGATCTCCTCTTAGATCAGTGTTTCTCAAACTTGGCAACTTTAACATGTGTAGACTTGCTGGCTGGGAAATTCTGGGAGTTGGTGCTCTATCCTAAAATTGTCAAGTTTGAAAAACACTACACTAGATAAAAATCGCTTGGAACAATGTTGTATCTGCTGGCGTTTGTGCCTCTGAAATTGTAAAATTACCTTTTTAACCACAACATTGTTATTATATGATTCCCAATAGGCTTGGAAGTGGGTCTTGGGCCCTGTGATATTGCACATCTATGAAAGAATGATTAGACTATGGAGATTTCAGCAAGAGGTTGTCATTACAAAGGTATGTGTTCATGCTATATTTTGTTATAGATTTTGGTTTTTTTTATTCTATATCCTATTCACATATTTATGTTATTTACTATATTCATGAATATTTTGTTATTCCCTTTATATTATTATTGTTTTTGTAAAGAACTATGGATGCTGAAATACGATTCAGCCAGTGGTGGGATTCAAATTTTTTTACTAGTGATTCTGTGGGCGTGGTTTGGTGAGCATGGCAGGGGAAGGATACTGTAAAATCTCCAGTCAGAGGTGGTATTTGCCGGTTCTCCGAACTACTCAAAATTTCC